GATGAATCCGCGACGGATGTCGAAACGTCAGGCGAATAAACGTAGTGTCCCAGCGATCGAGTCTTCTTCCCAGTCCACAATACAGTTAACTTTAACATTTGGCTGATCATCTGCTCTTTTTAATTCCGGGATGATGTATCATAGCCCGCAACAGTCAAGTTAATTTATTTACCGCGAGTGTGTGGCGTCACCGTAAGTATTCCAAGTACAAGCGGCGTGTCTCAATCTTTTGGTAGACTGATAAGTAACGACGATTGACAGTTTATTAAAACGTACTGCAGCAGTTAAAGCCTCGCCATCTTACGCGACTGGGTGTATGCTAATTAAACCAAAGATTAGACGGCCGGGCACCCTCGTAAAAATCAGATGCATCTGCTGTTTCTGAAGGATGGTCTGGATGCAACCTCAGCATAGTCGTTGGAAAATGATTTTTGACTTAATAATCGGAAATTGACCTAGTGTGTTTCTCAATTACTACCACTTTCCAGTCCTGAATCCTTACCAATTTTTTTCCCAACGAGACATATTTTCTCCGGTACGTCGGTGCTAATTTGACTTGAAAGCTCACAGTTTCCTTTTGTACTGAAACCGGCTTCACTAAAATTCGCAAAATAGATTAATGAATTCGTTGGGTGCGTTCCTACCATACCCCATAATGTTAGCATTTACAGATGCCTGTATTTTTCGTCTCATGCTTTACTGTTCTCCTGTTAGGCTTACGACTCTGTTGAAAAAAAATGCTGATTTTAAACCGAGTTTTCCGAATACTCTCTTCTGCTTCCAGCGTTCCTTATGTCATTTTAGTTGATAGGATAATACGACGACATTTCACAACGGTAAAGCAATTCGCTGACCGATATCCAGGGGACGTTGTCCACCCCCTTGCTCTGATCTATGTGCTGTGACGTTTTTTCACTAAATGTACCGAGGATTGCGGGCTATTCTTTGTCACGCATCGGCATATCAGCATTCCATATTGTCAATTCTGATAGGATAGCTTATGCGTAAAGAGACAGAAATACAAAAAATGAAGCAATATGTGTTTAGTTTATGGTAATCCTTGGGTAATTTGTTAATTTATCACCTGGTCACAGTGCATGGAGCCATTTTGCTGAATGTTTTATGACACTGTCTCTTCCTCTGAGGGCTATAACCTATCGCGGTCCCTTTATGATCTAAAGTAAGACTGGCGCAGCCTATTTCCAGG